AGGAAGGAAAGATGGGCGTGAGGAACTTCGATCACAAGTGTGTGCGACTAAGGGTTATCTGCTCTCGTTTGGTCGGTGATCCCGTTCGGCAGTGAGAGGAAAATGGCTCTTACTGACAGCGTGATTTCAGAAGGGTGTGTGTGTGTGTGTGAAGGGGGGTGGGGGGCAGATGGGGGTGGGTGGGCTGAGTTCATTTGCATGATGTGGATTCGCTTTCGTAATTACGGATCGAGATGCCATTAATGAAACGATTTATCGTGATTACTGTCTTATCTTTCTCATTCATCTGTATGCGAGTGTAATGCAAAGTTTTAAAAGAGCAAGACGAAAATGCATACCCACACCCAAACATACACTCAGACGCTGACAAAGACAAACAGACAGACAGACACTCACACACACACACACATTACTCTCTCCCCACCTCCCTTCACCAGCCACTCCCCCACCCAACCCACCTGACCACGCCCGTCCCTTGCAACACATCACCCTTGCAGTCACAACCTCTCACCGTCGGACGAGCGCATGTTGCACGCCCACGCTCTGCAACACAAAGGCAAACCCTCACCCAATCCTTCCTCTAACCCCCTCTCCCCTTCCCACCCACCTCCCTCCTCGACGCCCATGCCATATACGGGCGTAGTGTTTTGTCCTCGTCTGCGTGGCGCGTCCTACGATAGGATAGGGAGGCGGGCGGTGGAGGCGGGTGGGCGGGCGTGTGGGCGGGCGTGTGGGCGTATGGAAGGAGGCGGCTAGCTGTCTCTCTTCTGATAATTTTTTTGAAGTGCTAATCGACCCGTGGCTTTTTTTCTTATTTTCCCTTTTTGTCTTTTTTTGTCTTTATACTTCTCACAGCTTCCTCGTCTTTCTCTCTTTTTTCCCTTCTCTCTCTCTTTCTTCTCCAAACCCTTTCTTTTTCTTCTAACCTCCTCCTCTCTCTTCCTCTTCCTCTTCCTCCTCCTCCTCATCATCATCAGCATCAGCATCATCATCATCATCATCATCATCTTTCTTTTTCCTTTCTTAGCTCCATCTCGGAAGATGAAGAGAACGAACAGGAGACGACAAGGAAAGTAAGAATGAAAAAAACGGAGACGGAACCAGAACGAGGAAACAAACCCAGGGAAAAAAATAATAAAATAGACACAATCAATTGGCAAAATTAACCAACCCAATCACAGTCCCTGGGCGTCCCTCACTCGCACCCATCTCAGCCTCCTCATTATCTCATGCACCTTCCCCTTACTTTAACCCAATATTCCCTCCCCCCCTACCTCATCCCCACTCCACACCTACCCACTTCCCCATCTCCATCCCGCACTTACCCCCTTCCTCACCCCCATTCCACACCTACCTCCTCCCTCACCCCCACCCCACCTACCCCTTCCTCACCCCCACTCCACACCTACCCCTTTCCCCACCCCCACCCTACCAACCCCTCCCTCACCCCTCCCGCAAAATCTAATAAGCGCATGTGTTGACCATCCTCCCCTACGACTTTCCCCCTCTCCCCTTTTCCTAAGCCTCGCCAGGTGTGGAAACACGTGCCTGCACACCTGTGACCCTGTGACTCACCCGTGAGGCCCGCGGAAGCCTAGTATCCTAGTTCATTCCGGTGCAATTTACATTCCGATACTTACGGCGAGAAGGGGAGGATGAGGTTGGGGGAGGGAAGGGGAGGGAGGGGGAGGGACGGGGTCTCGTTTCCACTTCCATTTCCGAGTCGGTGTAGCATTCTCTCTCTCTCTCTTTCTCTTTCTTTCTTTCTTTTTCTTTCTTTCTCTTTCTTTCTTTCTTTCTTTCTCTCTCTCTAGCTGTTTTTACTCCTTTCCACTATTCCCATCACCCTTTGTCTCTCCTTCCCTTCCTCTTTCCCTCCCTCCTTCCCTCCATTCATCCCTCTCCCAGGAAGGGTTTCATCGAATGTTATTACCGTCTACTCTATTTTGAGAAGAGTGAAAAAGGTTTAAATCGAATGTCAATAATCAAACGACGATCGAAATTCCTTTACTCTTTACATAACCTCCTCAAGATTCACAACAGGCGGACAACCCTAAACGTGATCGGAATTTCAATCTGAAGAGAAAGGGGAAGAGGGAGAGGGAGGGGAAGAGGGAGAGGGAGAGGGAGAAGTAGTATGAGAAGGGAGAGGGAGGGAGAAAAACGCCTGATTAACTACGAGTTGATGGCATTCTCAAAATAACGCACTTGACATTATAATACATCAAGCTAACCATCCTACTCTCATATCAATACGTAACACAAACAAACACACACACACACACACACACACACACACACACACACACACACACACACACACACACACACACACACACACACACACAATATATATACATATATATACATATATACATATATATATATATATATATATATATATATATATATATATATATGGCACTATCTTGCCACCATACTGAACAAAAACAACAGCAACAACAACACTAAACACCACGGCACTTCAAGCGCGGCGTCAATCCCTACGCCGGGCATCTGCGACATGAACTTCCCCTTCCCCCCCCCCGCCTCCCCAACCACCTTTTGAACGGAAATTCATTCGGACGCTGATCCCCTCTGCTAAAAGCTTACCGTCAAACTCGAACACCTTTCTCTGCTGTACTGTGTCCGCGTGTTCCCCATTCACCTGTCAAGCGAGTGTAAACCTTGCCACATTCCCGGAGCTTCCCTTTGCCTTGACAGGAGTGCCAGTCTTGCTCTTACAGCGGCCCCCGGGGCACATGGCAACAGTGCCATTAGTTTAACGAATGTCTTTGAGGGAAGGGGTCTTGGAGAGGGAGGAGGGGAGGGGGGAGAAGGAGGAGGGGGGAGGGGGGAGGGGGGGAGAGAGGAGGGAGGAGGAGGGAGAAGAGAGAGGAAGGGGAGAAGGGGGAGGGGCCGGGTAATATTGCCACTATCTTCGCTGGCGTCTCGAGTGATATGATAACTGTGCCATCGTTATTCCTACATATGTATATTCGCTGCCGCGCGTTTCATAGAAGTAACAGTTGAATCTCCGTCTTTAGCCCCCACTCCCTCCTCAACTCCCCGGTAGATGGATAGACCACGACTTTGTCTCTATCTCTCTCTCACATATTTTTCTCTTTCCCTTTCCTGCTCTCTGTCATCCTCTCCACCTGCCCATTCCCTAGTTTTATCGCTCTCCCCCAGTTCTCCCTCCCTCACACACAATAATCAGGAAAGGGCCTCCCATCCACTCCTCTCGGCGTGAACATGGCGACACCCCGGAAACCCTCCACACCCCCCTTACCCCCTCCCGCCATCACCACCCCTCCCCCTCCCCCATCCAACCTTGGTCACAATGAGGTGAATCATAATTACCAACATATTCATCATCGTCCCGCGGTATAAGCACTACAACGACTTCACAATCACACTATCAGGTGAAGCTACACGCCCCTCCCCACCTCCCCTTACCCTCCCTACCCCCACCCCACTCTTCCTACCCCCTTACACCCCTCATCCTCCCCTCCCTCCCTTCCCTCCAC